GGTCAATTCCCGCTGGATCGCTTGGCGGAGAGGATGCTCAACTCCTTATCCTTCGTCCGCCGGCTTCTGGCCAAGATCCGACATCTCCAGGTGGCATCAGCAGCCGAGCGTAATGGCACGCTGGCGTCTGAGACTTTGGTGGCTCGTGATAACTTCGACACCATGCGTCCTGAGTGGATTGCTATGTGTCGACACTGGAGTCAGCGCGTACGGACTCTCACGTAAGTTCGCATCGACGGCGAAGATTTCCTGCGCCAAGGACATCGTGACGCTGAGTCCCGCCACCAAGCGCGAGTTACAGAGCTGACGGACCAAGTCGCTCAACTCCAAGCCCAGCTTCGAGACTCTGAGGCCGTTTGCCAGGCAGCTGAGAGGCGTGCTGAGGAGCGTGTTTTGGACGTGAACGCCCTCGTCGATTTTCTCATGGGGAACAAGCCGAAGATCAACGTGATGTTTAACTGGATGCACCTCGCGGCGCTCCTTCATCACCTCGCTGAGGGCACTCCGATCCCAGTAGGACGACTCACCAACATTAATGTGGTTGCTCTGGACGACACGCGCTGCGAGTGTCCTGAGTACGCGTAGCCTTCCCCAAGACCCGCTAATGGTGACTCATCTTTAGGTTCTTCGGGCTCGAAGCGTCCTAGTGTCCTCGACCTGTCCCCTCCTGCGCGTAACAAGAGGGCGTCGACGTCTGGGTCGCGGACTGGCAATCGGAAGCGGAAGGCGTCTACAGCGCGTGATGCACCTCTATCAAAGCGTCCGTCCCTGAGTCCGGTTCAAGACTCGAGACATCAACTTGACTGCCAACTCCGTCCTCGGGGCTATGCACCCAGAGATATGCTGGTGTGCTCGCCCAGGAACGTCCCCAACGCTCGGAATCTAGCGGAGGCCGGTCGCGCTCTCCCAGCTGGAATGCTCTGGACTGACGTCCAACATATTTTTTGTTGTCCGAGATGGATTTCAAGTGCGCGATGAAGTGGGTCCGCGATGAAGTGGGTCTCTGAAAGTCAGGGCATCCACCACCTTGCGCCTCGGGAGGCTGTCTGTCGTATGTTGGCCCAAGTAATGCACGCAGACCAGCTGGATGAGACTCCCTGGTGTCGTTTCATCCCTGAGGGGTTTTACACTAGCGCAGAAGGGACCTTACGTTTACGCCAGGGCAAGCGGGAACCATCGCCTCCTTGGCATCCTCTGGGTCGGTGTTTCATCAAGGTCCAGAAGCGTAAGCAGTCGACACGGGAGACTGAGGCTCTACAAGCCAAGCTCCCTGAGTCTTCGGATGGTGAGGTTCAGGATCCATCCTACGAGTTGTCACAGGCAAAGCCGGACAAGGCTGCACGCGTTGAGGCCGCTGCTGACAACGACGAATCGAGCGAAGATTCCGACAACGCCGGGAAGGAGTTCAAGTCCACAGCTACGCACCCGAGTCCTGCCAGTCCTCAAGAGTCCAAGACTGGGAAGCGAGTGACAAGAATAGTGGCACTAAGAGTCGTGGTGCATCCGGAAAATTCGAGTATCGCGTCATCACCAGCTCTAAGTCTCCGCCTATTCCGATGTCTGGCGGCACTTCGCGTACGCGCGAGATGCCGGTTCTTTCCCTGGCCACATTCCTCCGTCGGGCTAGGGTAGAAGTTCCACCCGAGGGCCTTCGACGCATTCAGTCCAAGGTGGCCAAGTTGAATTACGACGACCTTCAGGGCGAGTACCTAGACATGGTGGAGGCTGCATGTCGGGGGACTCACGTCTCTTATCGCATCTTCGGGATTCTGGTGAAGTTCAATTCCTACCGACAGTCTCAAGGGTATCCTGACTGCACAAGCCTGACATCCATATTCTGAAGGCGCGCTGGGATCTGGAGGCATACCAAGCTCTGGTTTACGTTCCTGAACCCGTCGACGGTGGTCCCGCTCGAGATGAAGATGGCGAGTACATCAGAGCGCCCTGGTCTGCGATGTTCTATTATTGCGTCACCGTGTTCTATTTCGACGAAGTGCGTGACTTGAACTCTGAGACGCTCGACGGAATCAAGGAGTACGTGAACTTCATGCGTATCAACACCAATGCTTGGTGGGCTATCCTTCACTGGCTAACCGTCTCCTTCTTGGGTCGGGACGTTGCTGACGCGGATGCTTCTCGTGACTTGTACGAGGGATGTCGCAGATATGTCAAGCGGCTTCGGGCACAGTACGAGGCCTTGCTCAAGCGGTTGTTTGCGATCCCTGCATTTCCAAAGACATTGCTTTACGAACCTGGTCTGTGGACGCTTCCTGTGTGTGCGTGCCACGGGATACTCAAGGATCCTGAGCGTTCGCCCCTTATTCGTCGTGGGGTCGCTGACTACGCTGCTCAGCTTGACGATTTGGACGGGGAAGATCCCGTCCGCACTCAATGGGTGGCGGCGGCGCACAGCGACAATGACATTCTGGCCACGGTCCCTGCCTTCATACATCCACTTCTCATGATGCCTGAGCGCCGAGCTCGGAACGTGATTCCATTATCTGCGGCGTCTCAAGCGTGAACTCCTATCGTCAGCTGTTGTTCTCCACGTACTCTGGATGTCGGAGTCACTCTCCTTTCTCTCAGTCTCAGACAGTAACTCGCTAACACTGATCATTTTCCACTTTTCGCTCTTGTATCTTGGCTTCTTCACCCCTTAATGATAGTCTTCGTCATGATACTCACTCACCCATTGGTTGTCCTCTGAAACCCTCACTGGATCCAGGGGACGACCACTCACAGTTCTCAAAATCAATACCATTCCGTTCACACATACAAATTCCTTGGGCTAGGCGTTGTCTTCGGACCTAGTTCCCAGGGTGATCGTCATAGCTTGGAAACGTGCTCTCGCCTTAGCACCCTGGTCGAACTCATATAACAATGCCCCACAATTAAGTTGGACTAGAGGTATCCACTCTGGGTCTGTGAATTCTTTCCACTTGGTCAGATATTCTCGAGAACGCTTGGACGTCCTTGTACGTTTGACCCACCTGATATCCAGGATCTCTTCGACTTCATACTCATCCCTGGGCAGTGTCTGGCTCCCAACTATCCTCGGGTAGCAAAGCTGCGTCAAAATCATCATCTTCTGAGACTTGTATCTCTGATGTCGGTCGCTTAGGGAACAATGCTCTCGGTTTGAGGCGGCTAATGTGGACCCACGGGTTCACACGGTAACCTGTGCCTGGGATCTTAAGCTTGACTTTGAAATCGTCATGAATTTCATCGATTCGGAAAGGTCCGTACCACAGGTGGGCTAACTTACGGCTCAGTCCTGTGCGGACTTGGGGAATATACAACCACACTGAGTCACCGGTTTCAAAACCTGCCTTTACACGATCTGAGAGTTCTCTCCACTTACGAGTCTGAGCGGCGGATCTCGCGCGCTTTGCCTTCTTTTGCAAGTCTTCAGCGCACGCAAGGGCATAGCTATTGTCGCGTTGCATCTTCCGACGCCACTCCAAGGCCGTTCGTTCTTGGACTGTGGATGGCTTCGGGCCCAGCATTGCGGATATGGTTCCCTGGGCGTCCCAGCCATGGACCAGATAAAACAGAGTGTCTAATCTTGCAGCGTCGAACGAGGTATTCAAAGCGAACATGAGACGTTCTGCATGCTCGTCCCAGTCACTCTGGTCAACTTCAGCGACATACGTTCTGACACTTCGCATTACCGTTTGAACTGAGCGTTCTTGCTGTTCGTTGGCCTGAGGCCGGTATCCTAGCGTCGCACGCTGTTTACGTTTCAGAAGGTCTCTGAATCAAGCGAAGACCTTACTCATGAAATGGGGGTCCTGATCATGTCTGATCATTGAACTCGCCCCAAATCGTCTGAATACGCACTCTTCGTACGCCTCAGCAACATATTGGGCTTCGGTATTCCGCATGGGTTTACACATGACATATCCTGAGAATTGATCTTGGAACAACAACAAGTACATATTTCCACGATCGGACTCCGGTAACTCAGTGCCGAAATCCATAGAGACCATCTCGAACGGATATCTCGGTTCGATATTGCCAGGTGACGGACCGAGAA